AAATGAAAGCCATTTAATAGCCCAAATTAAATCTTATTAACAGTCGCAAGTATGGTCATTATTCTTTTAAATTGTGCATATGTTTTTGGTTGATTTGGTCAATCATTACTAACATGTGACTCATTCAAATTCTCCACTCTATATATACATACACAAACCCTAGCTCTCTTAAGGAACATAATACACGCTAGCAATTCCTAGACAATACACTATCATGGCTGACCGTCAAATTCTTCAGATCCTTGTCGTTCTATTCGCGATAACTTCAGTTGCTCAGCAAGCAACATGCCAAACGTCTCCCCCTGGTTATGAGTGCATTAAGAAGTGCAAGTCCGCGCTATGGTCTTGCACTTCTGATTGTCAAGAGACTTGGGTCAGTTGTGAGAGTCACTGCGAGGATTCTTCTTCAGGAGCTTCAAACAATATTACAACTTTAAAACAAATAGGGGTATAATTTGCTAATGCCTACTACTATTACTATAACAAAATGTAATAACATTATAAGGATATGGAATAAGGACATCTCTTAGAATAAATCTAAATTTATTTGGAAATGACATGAGGTGTTCTATGTGTATGTTTGTTTTTTATGTGTATGTTTTGTGGAAGGAGTGCTCTTGTTATTTGTTGTTTAAATGTGAACAAAAAGTTTGTAGGCTATCATACGCATCACAAAGATGCTCATTGTTATATAATGCTTAATTAGTCCCAATATCCAGTGGGTAACAACTTGACTCTATGAAGTTGTGAGCATATATCTGCACACAAACAGAAGGAGAGGAGAGCAGCAAACAAAATCAAATAGTATAATGAAAAAAATAAGGGCTGTCCTATTTGACTCGCGGGTTGGACAACTCGAGCCCAACTCGCAGTCACTGAGTAGGGGAGTGGGCCCCACAAAGTGACCCCCTGTTCCCCACACTGCGAGTTGGGGGGCTCGCGGTTGGACCGCGAGATAAATAGTTTTTTTGGAAAAAATAATACTAAAATGCAAGGACAAACTAGCTGTTTCGTAACCAGCAGGTGGTTTTTTTTTTGTGTGTGGGGGGGGGTGGGGGGGGTTCTCCAGCAGATGGTTTTTTGGGTGGTGAAATGGAAAATCTGAGTCAAAGGGGTGAATATTTCACCATTGGTTTTTCTGACCGCGTGGGTCCCGCGAAAAAAGCATGCAGCTGTATTTAAAAAAAAATTAAAGGCGCCTACCAATCAGCACGCGACATGTGGAGATTGTTGAATTATGTAAAAAGTAAAAATCTTTTGAAAAAACTCCTGCTGTAGAGATGATAGAAAATGGAGATTGTTGAATTATGTGGAGGGGAAATAAAGTGATGTGGTAGGAGAGAGAAGGTTAAAATTTCGACTCCTGCTGGAGATAGTCTAACAAGAAACGGAGGTTGCCACTTGGCTCTTTGATGCTTCAAGGATAGGGGGAAGCAGAACCTTTGGTTCATTGCAGTAGAATATATTATGGATATTTGAGCCCAAGTCAGCATATGAAATTTCTGTTTCCAATTGAACCATGTGCTAGAATTTTCTGCAATAATTTTCAACCAGATTCCATTTTACATGCTAAACTAGCAAGTCTTCTACACAAGTGGCAAAATGTACATTAATTAAGAAATAAATAATTTTTTTATTAATATATTTTTCATTAATTCAAAATAACTTTTCATTGTTATCCAAACAAAAAAGGGATTGAAGGATAAGAATTATTTTCACTGCATCAAAAAGTATACGAAACAAGAGAAAAAAAACTACTTCCACCACTTACTAATTCATAAATTTAGAAGTTACATTCTTTGATCTATTTGCCACAATTCCGATACTTCTATTTAGGGGTGGGCAAAAACCAAAAAAATCCGGTTCAACCTAAAAAACCGTCCAAAAATGCGGGTCGGTTAACTGAACCGGATTAAATGGATTGGAAGAAGACTCTAAACCGTCCGAACCGAATTAAACCGGATTGGATCCGGTTTGAACCTCTGAACTGCTCGAAAAAAACCGAACCGAATTTTCTAATATAAATACTGAAAAATCCCTAACCCTAACTATTTCTGGACTATTTGCATGGTTTGTAACTAAGTAACTCTTTAATGAGTTTATTATTGTGGTATGGTATGCACTTGTTGATATGGTTTGCGCTCATTTCACTGATTTCAGTTTTTTTGTTAGTTGTGACAATGGTGTTACTTCAAACAAGGTCCACATTTCATTGTTTGGGGGAAAAAATTAAGTAGACAAAATAAAAAAATAATGATACTTCATCAGAAATTAATAGGCAATGATCTCAGGTGTGGACAGATTTTTTGTGAAATGGAATTAATTCGGCCCAAAACCGAAACCGATCAGAACCGATCCGAATTTCGGTTGGGCCGAATATTCGGATGAAGGGGAAAAAATCTGGATCTGGATGAAAGTTTTGAGAATTCGAAAAATTCGGATTGGATACGGATTGGGCTTAAAACCGACCCGAACCAAATATGCCCAGCCCTACTTCTATTTGCTGTCAAACCAAACGGGTTAAATTGTGTTCTTAAGAAGGATATGTTGCGTTAATGATTTTAAAGATTTGAAATGAACAAGGCCATATAATTAGAAAAGTTTTAAAATAAATCAAATTGCAATTATATAAGGATAGGCATTACTCAAATTTTCTACCAAATATAGCATCATTAACTGTTGTGCATTAGAAAATAACCACAATAAGTGATACTAATTACTCTATCTGAAAGAATCAAGAATGGTAAAAATGATTGGGATCCTCTCGAATTAAGTGATAATTAGATAGTGTCAAATTATCCAGATTGTTATCATTTATTCCAAGGGTTAATTTTAAAAAAAACCCGCTCAACTATAGAACTTGTCTCAGAGCATCCCCCTAAACTATTTTAACATTAGAAAACCCGCTTTAATTTTGAGGGTGACTCCCCCTCTCAACTTTCAAGTTATGACTAAAACCCCCTCAACTCTAAGTGTCTCACAAATCCCCCTCTAACTTTATTTTTTTTGAATAATTCCTCTAATATTATTAATTTGAAATATGCCATGACTGAATTATCATTGGTTGGGGAAAAAAACATGTATGTTTAAAAAATTAACCCAATCAAAATGTTAAACTTCAATTCGATGAGTTTTAGCGAGGAAACTACTCTCCAAAAAATTCCAAGTTTTAAATGTTTTAAACATTTAGAAGTATAGATAAGTAGAAAATAAAAGAAGTTTAACAATTTCAAAGAGAGAAAAAAAATGGTATTCACATGTGGGCCTAACAGTGAAGATGGAGGAAGAAAAAGTGGGAGAAAATAAAAATTAAGGTATTTTTGAAACAAAAAAAGGGGACACCATACCAAAAATTTTAATATATCTTAGGGATAATATGATCATTTTAAATCATATGTTCCTTTATTACTTTAGGGGATTGAGTGAGAAAAAGTTGAGGGAGGTAAGTCATATTTTGAAGTTGAGAGGGGTTATCTTTAACCACCCAAAGTTGAGGGGTGTTTTCTATAGATAAAAAAGTTATGAGGTGGTTTTCTGAGATGACCCCTATATTTGATGGGAGTTTTCTAAAATTAACCCTTACACCAATTTCAAAGGCTGAGATGAAGCCATGCAGGACGTTAAATATTATCTTGAAAATCACAATTGTTTTTAAAATCACTATCATAAAAATTGGTATCGTGATAGTGGAAGTCTTAAATAATTTTGTAGAAAAAAGAAAATAATGAAAAGAAAACAGTCCGCGGAGAGGAAGGAATAACATTTTTCCCAATTTACTTTTCTAGTGACAAACAATTAATAGACAAAAGTCACTCAAATAAAAAAAAAAGTTCAATACGAGAGAAAAATGGGAAAAAAAAGGAGATGATTGAAGCAATAAAATCTTTTTTTATAATGTACTCACGCTCATACATTAATTCCACGTGCAAAAAATATGCTACTGCCTTATTTGCCAAAACATTTCCAAAAGTCTGAAAAGACCAAATACATTAATAAAACCATAATCCACACTAAGCAATACTCTCTGAAAAACATTTAAAGTGCCTAAAATACCCCCTAAAAATTAATGCAATACTTTATTCAGGGGTAGTATGGTAAAATCCACTTATCGAATTCCGCTCGCTGTGAATACCACTGAGTAGGGGGAAAAAATCTATGTAGGAGATTAGGTGTAAATTAATTAGCAAATATTTAGGTATGGGAGCATTTTCATAATATAGTAGATTTTGAGGGGATATATGTAAAAAAAAGGAATTCAAACGAATCCTCTGCCTTTTTCGAACACAGACCAGCCAGGTTCTCTCTCCCCTCTAAAATTTTGGGCGCGAGAGAAAAAAATAGAAGCTCTGAGGAGAGAGAAAGAGAATATTATGAGAAAAAAGAGAATATTATGAGCAAATAAGGTTGTAATTTGCGGTGTAAAGTGTGGTTTTGGTGAGAATGTAATTGAACTTGATCGAAACTTAATGAAGTTTTCAGACTGAAGGAGTCAGGAAATCAAATTGATAAATAAGAACTTTAATGGCTTATATATATATATATATATATTCTACATATTTGATTCTAAAATGATGCACATTATGTGCAATACTCGCAAATCTCTACTTATGCTACCATTTTCCTCGCAATTTTAGTTCAGGCGGTACTTGCGACGACGTAGACTTTGTGATCAGGCAGAAAGGGAAATAACTTGGCCAGATCCTTGATGGATTCGGAATTTAACGACTTTTCGACCTCGTAATTCAACTTGATTTCGCCAACCCGAAAATTTTGGGATGGCTTATCATCGGAACACTTGGTCTCTTTGGAAAATAACATTTCATGTTAGATAAAGATGGAAGTCACTCTTCACCAATGCAATATTAACGAATACACAGATATTACTTCGTAACAAAGTAGCAACCATCTATCAAATTAGCTCTCCAGATGACAAAAAGAGGAAAATGCAACTCAGAAGTTTCATCAAGCCACATAAACAAGCACGAGTTCGAACTGGAGAATAGTCAAGAAGAGGAAGCTATAATCTCAACCAGAACCATGACATACATCCCACAAGGAGTTAAAATGTACAGAGTCTGCAAATTCTGATTAAATACTGTCGTCAAAGACATTTATAGTTCCAGGTTCACAAAAGTTTTCCAAAACCAAGCAAGTTGAACTTTGAAAGCATCAATTCTTCTTGAGAAGGATTTTCATCGTCGATCTCCAACAGATTTCGAACCAGCATATCTCCAGCAGCTTCAGGCCTGATTAATATCAAAAGAATGAGTTTAGGTTGCAGCATCATGAACTTCATTTAAACTACTTGCAAAAGTAAAAGAATACAGATTCATCCTTTAGCTTCTTGTTAAAATAACTAGAGCAAATCTTCAACTTACCTTAAATACCCTTGCACTGAAAAGATGTTTAAAGGAGGAAACATAAGTTCTCAGGAAAACAATGAGAGAATAAAGATAGACGAAATACTCCCAGCCTGACTTTGGCATAGTGATACAGTGTTGAGGATAGGAATTCATATAATAGGTGGGATTAGTCTTCAGAACTTATTTATGAAATAATATTATGAAACAAAGGTAAATATTAACAGCAACGCCAAGGGTTTTGTGTGATGTGAAATTCATTTGTTCATTGTCAGGTGATAGAGAAGGTTTATTGTAGCCTATTCACGATACGACATATTTCCAACTCTTATCTAAGCAATTTCTCACTAGTAGCTATACCGCTATATCTTAAAGAACCTTCAACGTTAATAATAAAGACCCAAGGAGTATAGTGGCACAAAAAAAGGCCAAACTAATGAGCTTTATAATCAAAATTAACTCATCACTAGGCCATTCGTTAAGTCTGTAGAGTCCAGAGCCACCCACAATATTCCTAATTTAGGTGGCACCTATGTTATCTTCATGGCCTACACAATATGGAGGCTTCAAGCATTAAAGAGATCACTAAGAGCTAAACTGCAAATAGATCTTCAAGACAGTACGAGAAGTATGAAAAGAAGCTTCTGTAAACGTTTATGTTACTTCCAAACGCCTAATACTGCAAGAAAAAAAAGTAATATTATATTGCTTGTGAATGGAGATATATATGTACTAAATGGAAATTGACCCATGCAGACAGCGACAAGTAAGATATGCAAATGCATATACGTGTCTCAATGCATGAGCATGCATTAGTATGGACTTGATAGGCTTTTCTTTTCCTGGTGCTTAGTTGATGAACCGAGAAAACATCTAAATGCACTGGGAGCTAATTCCATGTATGGTGTGAATGGACACAGATTAAAAATCACAGGATCAATAGATGCAAATTTGCCAGTAATACAGTATTGTCGGAAGACATCTGGAACTACTAAGCTGAACTTACCTGCATTTACTCCTAATTACCATAAACGAGAAAATTGCGAAAAATCACAACATATATATCAATAAAATGATATAGAGGTGCAGGTCTGTCATGGAGAATTGATCAAATGCTTGAGAATATATCTTGAGAGAGAATCATCTTCTTTTCTAAAGCACCTTACTTAAAACAGCAACTATCTTCAATCATCTAAGCGTAATAAATCCTATACGAAGCTGTTCTAAAATAGATCAGAAAGAGCTATATTTACTTATCTATTGGATTTAGAAAGCATGGGATTTTTAAAACCTAGTAAGATCTCTCCCTCAATCCCTTCCCCTCTAATGCACAGGAAAATATACATGCAAGTGCACATGCACACGAACGCATGTACATGTGGTCTCACACACAAATAAAGCTCACAAAAGCACAACATTTTTCTTCAAAGGATGAAAGATGATATTTGATTAAAACAAAGATGCTACATGTAAAACTTTCCATATTTTACCAGGACTGGTTTTAGTACATCCTTACTCAACTTCTATTCTTCATTTTGTTTCTAGACGAAAAGAACCTTAAATGAAAAAGGAGAAAGGCAAACTAAACGTGGGAAAAAGCGAAGGGCGCTTGGTATCAGTATATTTTGCAGTGTGCATGAGCAAAAATGTGGGCCCCACTTCAACAACAAACATACTTGTATCTCCAGAACGATGAAAAGCAGTCATCAAACTTCTCTTAATTAATATTTTTTTAAAAGTATGTACAAACATCAGTACATAACTGAGGTTTATTTAATAAGATTACATTTATACGTGAACACAAGTTTATTTGGTCAGTAAGAGGAAATGGACCACATAACACGGAAGATGGGTATCAATCAGAAAAAAACAACTCGAGGTATTATGTTGTGTCAACGCATTATCCTGTTCTTTTAGCCAGTGCATGAGAGGCATGGGCCTTCCTAAATTTAAAACAAGCATTCTAACAGAACCATATAATCGACACAATATATCACATGCATAATATAGAAACTGAACGATAACGAGATTTAGAAGGAAGCATATTGCACACCAAGAACGAATATTAGCATAAAAATTATTCACCTTGCAGCATAGTTACACTTTTGGGTAATACCAAAAGGGAGTGTTGCTCAAACGGTAAGAGTCAAGTTTAGGAGATTGCACAATCCCTCCATCTTCTAAAGAAAAGACACCCTGATCGTAATATTGATTAGGGTTATCGCCTCCCAAGAGAATTCCTGCCTCGATATCCGTGAAGTATATATGGTTTGCTTTATATCCAGAAGGGTCATCAGCAAGGAAAGCCCTTGCACAAGAATCGCCGGAAGAACTCACAAACAGGACCTCATTATGTAAACTCTTTATTTGTACCCACTTATCAGAGGCATGATCTAGCCTGAACAGGTGAAATCCAGTGGTGCCTACATTTTGGTTTTCATTATCAATGATATCTACAGTTCTCACTACAAGGAGTAGGTCTCCTGAATTAGATTCAACCAGATAAGTTTCAGATGGACGTTCAGTGCATACTTCTGGCAGTAATATGGTTTTTCTCCAAAGAAATATGGGTTCTATGTCAGAAAGGGAGTAACACATAACTACATTGCTCCATTGAAACAAACCTACGCAATATAATGACCCCCGATAGCATGCAGATGCTCCAGTAAAGTTTTCAATTAACACGAGCCACTCTTCATCTCCAGGTCTACACATGTACAACCCGCCAGACCGAGATAGAGCTGCTACCCCCAGAGAATAAGGGATATCAAACACGATAGCCCACTGAAAAAATCTGTAGCCATCATCACCCAAATCATCAGCAACCTCATTATCAGAACCACTTTCACCATTATCCTCATAACCATCTTCACCATCACTATCACTATCAGAATAAATATGAGGGTTAACAAATTCTTGCATGTACTGATGATCGTTGTCGCTAAAATCAGAACTACTTTCACTGTTAGTCTCATAATCACTTTCACTATCACCGTCAGTCTCAGAGTTGATACGAGGGTTATTAAATTCTAGCATGTTCTGATGATGGTCATTGCTAAACTCAGGAACGCCATCTGAATTGTCTTGAGAAGGACTGTGTAAAAAGTCACAATGGGAAGAAGGGAGCTCAAGGGTTTGATTATTCAAGGGGTTTAAAAGATAGTAGTTTTTTGCTTCATTATAAATTACTAGCCACCCCATTGAATGCCCAAGGCATTCAAAACCAGGTGAAATAGATATGTTAAGGTCGTGGATTTGAGCCTCCATTGGGCTGTAGAGGCTTAGTTTGTCTTCAATCTGAGGGAGCACCAGCCATGGCCATTTGAGTGCACGGCGGTGGGGTTTGTCTTTGGACGCTGATCTCCAAGTTTTGCAGACAGCGCCAAAGCGGATATGATCTCCGAGGCTAAGCTGCTGCAGAAAGAGATCAAGTATCTCCTTTGGCAGATCAGCCCAAGGCCTCTGCCGTACCTGTGAATAGCTAGCAGATGAGTTCAGGGAACAGGATGGATGGGATGGGAGAAACTGTACAGATAATTACCTGACAAAGAGCTTCAACCATCTCGGAGTTGCTAGTGTTAGCAGGGATACCCTCTTTCTCATAAAGAGATCGCAGATCTTTACCCTTCATCAATCTGAAATCCTTCTTCTCCATGCTCCTCTCTTTTGTTTGCAGACTGTTGAAGGAACAGTCCAGACTGAAAACCCCTGGTAAATGAAGAACTGGGACAAGGGGGATGATTGTCGTGAGAGGAAAAGTACTTTCCCTTTTCGGCAATGTCCATGTAAAATGAACACGTGGCTTCACGAGGAAAATAAATGAGAGTTTGAATTGGACATATAATACTTTACAGATTTAATTAATGACCAGAGACATTTAATCTCATTCTAACAAAAGTTTCTTGAAACTAAGAAACTGAAAATGAATGCATCAGCTTCTCGAAGGTGAGACACAACAGATATTTCAGGAAAAAAAATCAGCAGCATTTCTTTCATCGGAAGGAATTTCAATATTAGCCTTTGGCATATTTCTCACTAAAACCCATATTAAAAGCCTCAGCCAACTATATTAAAGTCAAACAAATAAGTTTAGGTTGCAGCTTCACGATTCATGAGCTTAGTTTAAAACTTTAAGTACTTCCTGAAAATGAAAGATTAAATGTCTCTGGTCAGTCCTTTACCTTTTACATGTTTTTGTTACCACATATAGATCAAGATTTTTTTTTAAAAAAACTTAAGATGTTTATAGGAGGTGCAGAAACAATTGTTCTCAGAAAGAACAACGGAAGGAAAAAGAAAAAACTGCAGAGTTAAAGAAATACTCCCTGATGCCGTTTTTTGCAGTCATATAAAGGGCAGTAACCTCATGCAGTAAATAGAATTGGTCTTCATAAAATCGTCTATGAATAGAATTACTGATAGAGGTTAATCCAGTTATGAACTTAAGATAATGAAAGGGATCCAACATGTTCAATCTGATAATAATTTCTATATTATCATTCAGTAAAGAACTAAGGTTTATAATTTATAGCCATCTGACAAGAAACTTCCCCAGAGTCCCGAGGTAGCTTCACAATTCACATGTTTACATGTCACTTAGCTCCTATTCAATTAAGATTGCTCCAGCGCCCTCCTGAAATAACAGATACTAAGTTGAAGAGAACAGAAACAAAATCACATAAACGACCCACTTTTTTCTAGTTCATAGCATGAACTCTATTAGTCTTCTCCCGCAAAACCGTCTAGCTGACATTCTACGTAGATCACATCTCCTTTGTAAGTCTTCTTCCAAAGCCCAACAAAAGATAATAAAGGTAAATTAACATTGATATATACTCCTTCCAGGCTATCATGATATTTATATTATATTTTATCAGTTACAATGTTGTATAACGTATGATACTTTTACGACATGCCCTGTACAAGAAATTCTGCACGAGTAGTTAATACTGTAATTTTTGCCTTTCAACTTTAACTTTTATAATCCAGGAGTAAATATGCCACAAACGCAACCATAGATCTAACAAAAAATGAACTGTTTTTAATTAAAATGAACTCGGTAGTAAGTCATTTCATCATAATTGCACTTTTAAAAACTGTACATCCTCATCAAATTTTCTACTGCAAGTCTAAAAACACACAAAAATTTCCAAGTTTATGCAACAACTATGTGATCTCTTTAGTATTTATAATTTTTAGGAAACAAAGAAAAAAATTTAGAAGCTAGCGAAACCTGCCCTATCCATGAACCATTTGAAATCAGGCTGATCAACAAACATGTTTCCACTGTCAAATCTTTACATGAACTCAGAATAGTTCAAACTTCTTCCACAAAAGGTATTTGATCACCATACCAGACTTCAAATCCTCTAGCTGTAGGATATGCCCTGGCATTGAAGAGATCAGTAACAGTAAGAGATAGAAAAGAACATAATACTTTTGACAGCATATTACAAGGAGGAAGCTTCTATTATTCTGCCACTTCCAGAGAACCTAACTTTAATTCTTACATAACCTTATGGACATAACCTTATGGGACGATTGGTAACCAAAAAGTAAATGGAAAGTGAAAATTTAACAGGCATTGCTTTCTATTTGCAAAATTTTTGTTTAGATGATAGAAAGATAAAAATTGGAGATGGCAAGTGAATTGGCATTCATTGTTTTCATGTTTTGTTTGGTTACTGTGGAAAGTGAATAGCATAAAGTAAACAATTAAAACTAAATTATAAGGACAGAGAAAGGGGAAAAACTAATTTCTCCCCCTCTTCACATACCATTCAATTTCTTAAAAAAATTGAGAAAGTGAAAATGGTTGAAAATGCTGATGTGACACCCTCCACTTTTTATTCACTTTCCAATCACTTTCCATTTACTAAACAGGGGGAAAATAGAAAGTAGGGTCACTTTCCAATTTTTAGTCTACTTTCAATTACTTTCTGATTGTCAAAATGCCCCTCATTGAAGGAATGAATAGTGTATAATCATATGTTATTGGTGAATGTGACCATATAATATCATGGAAATGGATCCATGCAAAACGTAATGACTACGAGATAGCTGTTATGTGTTGGTGATGTGATTAAACATGTTAGGGAAAGTCGTTCTACACGCATACTATGATTATCAAGCAAACAAGCATACTCATTGTTAACAGTGCACCGAACGTTTAAGTAGCCTATAAGATGAAAAGGAAATTAGAACCTGAAGAAGTTTTCTTAAAACATGTAGCAGGCAAAAGTTTGAATTGGACATAGATTAAAAAAAGAAAGCTACAATCTCAACCAAATCCATATAATACTCTGCAGATTCTAATTGAACACCGTCTCAGGGCAATTTCCCATACCAGCTAAAGTTTCCTAAAATCAAGAAGTTCAAATTCAATGTACCAACTACTCTGAAGGTGAGGTGCAACTGGTTATTCTGGAAAAAAGATAACCAACAGTATTTCTTTCCTAAAATTCATTTTCGTTATTAGCCTTGCACATATTTCCAACCAAATCCATTTTCAGCAGCAATAGTGAACCCTGATTAAAGGCGTAAGAATGAATTTAGATAGCAGCTTCATGGTTCATGAGCTCAATTTAAATACTTCGAGAAAATAAAAGAGTATATTTGAACCTTTACGGCTTTACCTTCTATAAAGTTTTGTTACTGTACCTAGAATCAAGATAAAAAATGTGCTAATAGGAGCTGCGGAAACAATTAGTTCTAAGAAAGGATAATGGGAGGACAAAAAGTGCATGGTAAAGAAATAATCCATAATGCCTGTCTTCAAATAGTCATATACCGGAATGGACAGCAACTTCTTCCATTGGATGAAATTAGTTTTCATAAATCCATTTTCAGCAGCAACAGTGAATCCTGATAAAAGGCATAAGAATGAATTTAGATAGCAGCTTCATGGTTCATGAGCTCAATTTAAATACTTCGAGAAAATAAAAGAGTACATTTGAACCTTTACGGCTTTACCTTCTATAAAATTTTGTTACTGTACCTAGAATCAAGATAAAAAATGTGCTTATAGGAGCTGCGGAAACAATTAGTTCTAAGAAAGAATAATGGGAGAACAAAAAGTGCATGGTAAAGAAATAATCCATAATGCCTGACTTCAAATAGTCATATACCGGAATGGACAGCAACTTCTTCCATCAGATGAAATTAGTTTTCATAGAACCATTTATGAATGAAAGTTACCCGTTACCAAAAGAGGTTAATTCCAGATATGAACTTAAGGTTAATAACATGGATACTAAGAGTTCTATCTGATAAAAAGTTTTGTACTACCACTAATGTTTATACTTTATAGCTAGGTTGAATGGGTACGGGTAAGGGTAAAGGACACGACAAATTTGTAAAAATTAGGGCATGGGGACGTGGCTATGTATGTGTATGTTATGTATATTTATATATACTAAATTAATATTTTACATAAGATCAACATTGTTCTTTAATTTACATAATATCAATATATAAGAAATAGATGTGTAGAATATACATTGAAGAAGTGTATGGGGAGTGTTTTAAATTAAAACATGTATTAGATAATTGAGCATAGGCCAGAATAAATATATGCATATATTCAAGAAGTGTCCAAGAGCTTTGGGTACGGGTACGGGTACATGTGTGGCAGGTGTACAGCTTCCTAATAGAAGTACCAAGGAACCATAGCTTTATAGGCATCTGACAAATAATAGCCCAAGTGTCCCAACGTAGATTCACATGTTTACATGTCACCTAGTATCTAAACTTATATTGCAGCAGCTTCCTCCATTTGTAATCTGAAAGAACTTGAATTACATGAACAGCTTAACAGCTTACATTTCTCTCTTTGCATATCATACGGTCTATTACTCTTCTTCCTCAAGATAATCCAGAAAACATCTCAAGTAGATCACGTCTCCTTTATAACATTTCTCTAACAGCCCACTTAAGGTGAAATATTGTTGATATTTAATGCTCCTTTGGCCGGTCATGATGTTTCAATTATATATTAGCAAATACAGTGATACATAACACACTTTTACTGAAAAGAAAATGTTATTTTTTGACACACTGTGTAAGAAATTCTGCACTATTAGGTACACTTGAATTTTTGACTTTCGAGGAACTTCGACCTCCAAAATCCAGTAGTAAGAATGACACAAAAAAACAACCATATATGTAACCAAATGAACAGTTTTAGTTAAAATTAACTCAGCAGTCGGCCACTTATGTCATAATCAAGGTTATCAATAGCGGATAGCGTCACGTAGCGGTGAGGCATCGCTAAGGCTATTTCGGGCTATTTCGGGCTATTGCGGCAAAATAGCGGTAAAAACGCAAAGCCAAATAGCGGTCTAATTTAGATATGTATAAATACTAAAAAAAATAAAAAAAAATCTAAGAAATCAAAAAGTACATATTGGATGATATAAAGAGATCCTAAACATGAAATAGACATGTAACCATCACGTAATACCGAATATAACTGGAGGAGTCAAAAAGTCGTTGTCTTCAAGAAGAAGAGCTTAGCGGTGACATGACTGTCCTAAGAGGAGCTCACGGTAAAGGAGGTGAGAGGAAGTATCAAGGTAGGTGCCAGAGGCTATGAGAGGTGGCGGGAGTATGCTGAAAATCACAGGAGATGATGGAATGCAATGGTCAAGGGTTGAGTTTAATTTTAAAAAAAATAAGCCTCAAACCGCTTTTAAATAGCAGTCAAAAAGCAAATTTCGAATGTAATCGCTCACTATTTACCGTTATGACACACTATTGACCGCTTTTGCGAACAGACATATTCCGCAATATGTCACCGCTATTGCATGATAGCATAGCAGGCGATAGCGTCGCGGGAAGGGACCGCTAAAGCTATTAGCGCCGCTATTGCGGGGCTATTTACCGCTATTTATAACAGTGGTCATAATTGGTAATTTAGAAACTCTAAATTCTCCTCAATTTACCTGCTGCAAAGTCTAAAAAAACACAATTTTGCAAGTTTAGGCAACTGTTTGATCTTCCTCATCATTATAATTTTTAGGAAACAAAGAAGGAAACTCAAAAGCTAACAAAACCCGTCCAATGCATGAAGCCATGGATCCATCTGAAATCATGCTGATCAATCATCACATGTGTCTAGTATCAAATCTTTTCATAAACTCACAGTATTTCAAAATCCTTCCATAGATGATACTTGACCGCCATAGCAAGCTTCAAACCTCTAACTCCTATGGTAGAATATCCAAGCAGGAAAGAGGCCATTAAAAGAAAACAGCAAGTATTTCTTTGAAAGCATACTTGAAAAAACAGACAGAAGCTTCTGAAAGCATTTATGCTACTTTCAAACAACCTAACCTAAGCTCTTTCTTAACCTTATGGAAGGAAATGAACATATTGTATGATAAAGATGTTTATTGGTGAATATGGATATATACTATCATGGAAGTGGATCCCTACAAAAATAACGAGTAGAAGGTGACTGCATGTGTTAAGTGTATTGTATGACATATGTGCTTCAATGCATAATTGTCAATTGGTATGGAGTTGATAGCTACTCTTTTGCGCTTCTTAGTTGGTAAGCAAGGAAAGCATGAAATCAACCTATGGGCTAGAAAAAATTGGTAAGCAAACAAGGATCGCAAGAAAAATAACAAGAAATCACATCATATATATCAACAATTTGACAGAGACATGTAGGTGTCCCATGCATCGAAAAGTGGTTGACAATACCTTTTGAGAAAGAATGGTGACACATTCATCAAAAAATTTCACATAATTTGCCAGACTTAAAATGAGAACTGCCATTCTCCAAGCAATGCTTGAAGAATCAACAAATATATGTGCATAAGTGTGTATAATAGGGATAAACAATAGAATCGTCATTTCCACAGGGGAAAATATCCTCTCATGGAAGAGTCATAAACATATTTCTCTAATTATGGGTTTCCGTTGTGTCAATATCTCCATACATTAAAGCATATACGACGTGTATACATATTTTGAAAACTTCTTTCATACCCATGGCCTACTGAGACTAGTTATCTCATTATTCAGAAACTATTCATTTTGCAAGCCCTCCCTCTGCCGATCGAAATTATAATGGCCCCTTAGCGGGCGATCCGTAGCATGGCAGCAATGCAGTGATCAGTGATCTCCTTAATAACCCGACCACATTCTTCAATTTCTCCTTCATATCAAACACGCTCACAATCCCTCAAAAACCCTAACCCTAGTTCCTTCTACCAAAACCACCAAGCTCACACTGTCCTCGATTCCTCCACCGCCGCCCAAAACCTAGCAGCTGCGAACGTACACTATGGAATATCAAACAAAATACACCTTTGAAGAAATTTTTTTGCAGTCATTTCTAATAGAATCACTTATTAATCTCACTATAAGAAAGAATCATAATCAGCGTCACTATCAAAATCCATGAATCGGAGAAAAAGATTCCCAAATGGCGCCGGAAAGGAACGTGATCGATCCCCATGTCTGAGACTTTCTAAATAAAGGAATCAGCGTCTCTCCAAAGCCCTAATTTTTGTCGAAACCTGCCAACAGAAAACAAATGAATCCAAGAGAGAAGATTGAAATTAAGATGATTAAATTGAATATAATCGTTACAAGATAGAGAGGTGGAAACTTCTTGCGCTTTGCGGATTTGAAATCTTTTCTGCTCTCTTTCTCGTTGTAAACTATGGGGACTATGGTTTTGAAGGATTTTGAGGGGGAAATTATAAGGGATTTTGGTTGAAATTGGATTATAAATATAAATAAATGAGAATTTACGTCATCGCTCAAGTTTTATTATGATCATAATTAGAAAGCGATGAATTGGGACATAAATTAGGAAGAACTGAGATTATTAAACGATTAAGATTTTGTTTATTGTAAAACTCTACAATCTTTTCCTTTCTATTTCGAGTCTCAGAGATTTTCTGTTAAATTATATATAGGAGCTAACTTGACGAAAGCCCCTTGAGCTTTGAGGTTTTTTTGCACATAGCCACTCTAAACTTTTTTATCTCACGTAACCCCAAACTTTGGGCGTCTCACAAACCACGTGAACTATAAATTTTTCTCATCGATCCATATGTAACTTGCAAGTAACTAAAATGTCCTTCAGAAAGACAAAATCTCAAATTTAGTCATTTGTTATCTACAGTTATGTACCTCTCGCTCACCTTAACTATTGGTTTTTCTTTTAAGAAATTTTTGGTTATTTGCAAATTATAGATAGTAGGGTTCTAGTGAAGAGTTAAAGTTCGGGCCTTTTTGTGAGACACTCAAAGTTTGGGGGTTGCATAAAATTTACCCTTATATATATACTAGGTTTTATGCACGTGCAATACACGTGGTTAAATATCATGATTAAGTATTTTTTTTAATTTATTTCTTACTAAAATTTGTTCCTTGGTTTCACTTTGATGGTTTTTGCTCAGTTATGTCCCTAAACTTTAGCATTATGATTATTTATTTTCTTTGATGTTGGTTTAAATACGCCGAATTTAAATTTTCATGTTTATAATCAAATTGACAGGAAACAATTGTAATCCGAAGCCAATTTGAATTATCATGTTATTTGGATCGACATGAAACCGAGCTTGACCTGAAAAAATATAGTGTTGCAAAAGTGAAAAATACTTCAAAAAATATCGTTATAAAAAGGAGAATGAATAATTAAAGCTTTGATAGACTTTGTTCCTAATCCTTGATAGACTTAAAAAAAACATAAACTAAAGATTAATGCTAATTCCAATATATGTTTATATGATGAAAGTATCTACATAAGCATATAAAAGTACTAAAAAGTTCATGAAAATCTCTTCTAAAAATTCCTAATTTACTCAAAAAATAAACAATTCTATAAAATATTTAGAAAACAATGTCTTTTATTCATTCTATTTTATTTTTATTGGGCCGATATCAATCCTTCTACACCTTTATCTCTTTTGATAAAATTAGATTACTTTTAAATGTTGAAAAGGGATAGTAAATTTTAATTAAAAGTTAAATTTATATATGTTAATGAAAGAATATCAAACAACTATTTTTTTTGTTAAGTTTTATAATTGTAGTCATTTATTTGTGATTAATGAAAAGAAGATTGTTAATGTTTGACATGATTAATGAAGATTAGGGTGGGTCTATATCTACTAAAACTTATACAGTTTAGTAGCAGATGTAGAAATATTTACTATATAAAAAAAATAATATGACTTCAGAAAGGTTCATTCTTATTTCCGTCCATTTAAATTGGTTGCTACAGACAATGCAACTGATCATTGGTGTGGATATAGAACTAAAAGATAGGGAAGTATTATTTTTTTTTTAAACCTTTCAATTGAAATAGGTCGCAGTTATATGACATGTCAGGGATATTATTGACACAATTTCATAAACAAATTGTGGTATGCCAAAGAAGGAGCCAAGGAGATTGTGGGCCTTTTTTTGTTGAAATTCCAGAGGTAAAACTCTCGGTCTTCTTATTCTTCTTCCCTCACTCAGCTTCTTTCTTTCTCATCCTTGCCTCCTTTTATCAGGATGCCCGAACGTGTGCTTGTACTCGACGTTGGGAGGTATATATGGGAGGGGTGGATCTTTGGCAAAATGAGTATGAGCGTGATAGATCACTTGAAGTTTTCTGTATATCTTGTTACGTCAAGCAGAAGCGGACTCAATCCACAACAAGTCGGTAAACAATGCACAAAAAACGCAACGAGCACAATCCACAATCCAAACAGCCAAGATCGATCGCAAACACAGAGAATTACGTGGTGTTGGGGTTCCGAGGGCAAACACAAACGCTGAGAGAGAAGACCAAACACAATCAAAATAATGGCACGAACACAAACAAATAAATTTTACGTGGTTCGGCAAGTTGCCTACGTCCACGGGACAAGAAGGGGATGTGTTTTCACTAATAGAGAATGAGAGTACAAATAGAGATTACAAATTCACTCAAAATCTCTCAAACAAACCTCGCAAATCTCTCAAATAAAACCCTAACCAAATTACTCAGAAAACTCTTTTTTCTGTGCACAAAACAAACCACTTTTCAACTCTCAAAAACCGTAAAATCGTGTTTGTATTTATACCAAACATAAATCCCAATCAGAACAGAAAATCGCAATCAGGCCTAAAAACCCATCGCGGTCAACCGAACACGTGGTCCGGTCGACCGACCAGAAGGCTGAAATCTCAGCTTAATCAATTACAGGGTTTCGGTTGACCGGACTAGCCTAGCGATCGACCGGACAGGGTTAGCGGTCGACCGAACAGGGTTAGCGGTCAACCGACCTAACCTCACGGTCGTCCGGACAAAAAGCCAAAAGAACACCCTGTAGTGTGCACGTTTCCGGTCGACCGACCTAAGCCCGCGGTCGACCGGACTGCATCCAAATTTCTGTCTACTTCATATTTCCTGTTTTTCGACACCGTTTTCATTGTTTCTACACGTGGTTCGGCAAGATGCATACGTTTACGAGGAGGATTTGGAGATTTTCACTATATGGAGGAGAAATACAATGGGTTATAACTCTCAAACAATCAAACTAACCCTCACCAACAAGATCTCACTCACCTACTCAGAATCTCCCTCTCAAAGTACCCAATTTTCTCTGATCAACTCTCTACAGGATTCTCCTTTTTGTTTTCTATTTATATATAAATCCTAACTCCAAAACAGAATAGGATTATGTTTTCTCGACCCAACTTCGGTCGATCGATATGCTCAATCGATCGACCGAATGCGAAACACGAAAACATGCACAAAAAAATTAACTTCAATCGGTTGACTGATAGATCCTATGGGTCGACCGTCCAGAGGAATTTACAATACTCAGGATCTCAGGATCATATCAGTCGACCGATAGGATCTATTAGTCGACTGACCAGAGAGATCTTTCAACATTTCTGGAACATGGCACCTTAGAAAACTTCAAGTTGTTTGGTGAGAAAATTCGAAGAATAATTCCGAGAACCGTATTTGGTTTTATTCTCTCTAGCTGATTTAGAAAAAGAATAATTTACAATTCTCTCAAAATAATCTCTCTCTAACAAGCTTAGAAAAAAAAATTACAAAATATTCTCAATCTGAATCCCGATTTACAAAAGAGAAGAAGATCGACAGAGATCCTCTCTTTTGTTTAATTCTGGGTTCTTCACGGTAGCGATGAAATGTCTCCCTCGATATTCGTATCGAGTTTGCTTCTCATTGACGATCCGACCACCTCATTTTGTAGAACATGGTTGATTCCTCTTGATTGACATTGAGGAGAACTTACGTGAAAAATTTAAAACTCTTGACGAGTTGATAACTCAGAGCGAGTTTAAACTCTTGAAAAAATAATTTGAACCGAAAATCAGTTAATAAGCCAATGATGAAAGCTCCAAGGACTGCTCCAAAAGATGAATGTCGATCTCTTCTTTATGTAGTTTTGATCTCCAAGATTCCAGATCGAAGATCCCCCAACTCAGCTGAGTTTTTCGTCATTTATAGGGTTTTTTAGGGGTGTAACTACCCCCTAAAATCTCTCCTTGATGGGGTGTAACCGACCCCATTTCATGGAAAACGGTTTTGAAACTGTTCAAGTGGTTTAAGGGGTGTAATCCCCCCCCCCCCCCTACCTAAAATCATAGGAGAACGGTTTTAGAACCGTTTAACTCATATTTGAACGAGTCAAACGCAAAATCTACGTTCTGGGCATGAACACTGCGTTTTGGGCTTGAACACTGCATTCTGGGACAGAAACGCAGAGTTGGAACCTGCGTTGGCGGCTGAGAATGCACAGGTCGTGCTGCATTTTGAATCTGGGTCGCAGAGGTGAGCTCTTGCATTTTAAAGTTGGAACACAGCTCTTGAGCTTTGCGTCTCGTTCTGGAACACATGTATGATTCTGCGTTTCGCTTCTGAGAGTTTGGAACGTGGCCACGAGCCCTACGTTTTGAATCTGGGACGCAGAGGTGAGCTCTGCGTCTGGATTTGAAGAGATCGTGAATTTGTAGTCTCTTTTGCTAGAACGTTACAAAGACCATCATCTTGTAATCTTTATCTTGGCTCTTTGAAAATATGAAAGTTGTCAGATTGTAACTCCCGATGTTGATTGTGAAGGCTGTTAATTAGAGCTTTCATCAGTTGTTGTGAAGGTCGTCAGATTGTAACCTTCATCGATCTAAGCGAAAGTCTTCAAATTGTAGCTTTCTGGAAGCCGTCAAATTATAACTTCTATCATCGGTGTTTGATGGGGATCAGCTATCTACAGTGATTTTTAGACAACCTACACAAGTACGTTTTGTTTAATTTTGCATCTTCTTTGAGAGAGAAATAATTACGTTTTCGTTTAATAATTCTCGGAAGCCATTTAAGAAAGAAGTAGTTCATGGTAGTGATAATGATCTCAATATTTACACGACTTTGTTTTATCAGATAGGAGGTCTATCTGCAATTAACCCACTATTATATGTCAAAATGAGTAACTGGGATCGTAATTATCTAGCTTACCACAAAATGAGGAAAAAAGGATGACCCTTAAACATCAAAGTGAGTGTGTTGACAGTGGCATACATGTTTCGGTTTGCAGGTAGGACTTTCTCAAGCTCAGGGGGTGGCCCAAGGCAAAGTGGTTAGACTGCACATTCACAGTCCATACCCTGTTCAGGTTGATGAGAACCATGGAATCAACAACCTGGTTGTCTGGAAGTAACCCATCATGGTCAGGTACTTTTCTTCTCTTTATTCTTAACGTGTTATTTTTTCTTAGTATGCCTCTAGGTTAATCCGACTCTTCGTCTGGGCTCCCATATCCAGGTTCGAAACATGACTGATTCCAGTCTTGAATATACATCATTTATTCAGACATTTACTCAATTATATAAAACATGTTTTAGTTTAAAA